TTCCTCGGGAAACCCAGAGACCTTTGTAGGCGCCCAGTTCCCTATGCTGTGCACCAGCAAAAAGCACTCCGGCATGGCAGGCTGAGCAAGGAGGTCACGGAGGATCGTCCGACCCATGCTGCTGAGAGCCCGACATCCTCCAGAGCTCAGCAACCTCCACCCACCTGGAGTCACCTTCTAGAAACAGGCACCTACGTATTTCCTCACACACAGCCAAAGCAGACCCAATGCTCTTCTCCAACCAAGTTGCTGTTGACAGAGTAGGGAATGGAAGTTCATTTTTTAACTCGGCAGTCTGGCATTCCCGGGGCTCTCCAAACCCACAGATGTGTTTTGCAAGGAGCCCAGCCCTGCTGCTGTACAAACGGTTCTCTCTGAAAGCATCTATCAGATCAGGCCCTTGGCCAACACGTTTCATTACTCAGTTTCTCGATCCCAGCCGGGATTAGCTGGGAGCAAGGCTGCTCAGAATACAATATGCCAGGCAGCCACATGAGCCAAACTGGAGGCAACTGAAAAGCTTCCAAGTTCATCAAGAACTGCGGTGCCTCCAGTTTCAAGCATCAGTGGAGCAAGACAGTCAGGGGATTGCAGTTTTAGCCCTCACATAATTTAGGTGCTTAAATCCTCCTTTACCAAATTTTGAGTCCAGCCTACACCCCCCTGAACTAAAGAGTTTACAAAAGATACGAGGGAAGAATTCAGTACACCTTTTGTCCTTCCCTATTTATCCAAAAGACAGAGACCCAGAAAAGAAAGAAAAAATTAGTCCTTATGAGGATTAAAGAGTTGTAATCAAATGCATAGAGTTACTGAAAGAGCAAAAGTAAACGTAAATTTTGCACTTATCAAAGCAAAGGCCTCATAAGAGCATTGGCTGGCGCAGCTGGGGACACTGCAGATGGGCTCCGTGCAGACTCCTTTTGCAAGCTCTGACAGGGAGCCGCCATCCTGATTTAGAGCAAACTCTATCCCGAGCTGCAGTCGTGGGTCCAGGTCAAATCCTCGTTAGGAACAGCAGCAAACCGAGGCTGCGCAACGCATCTGCTGCCCGTTTCCCACACCCCCTCCAAACCTCTCTCATCACCAAAAGCCAGCGCACACGCTCACTCCACCATTTGCACCAAGAAAGGGAAGCTCTCCTAAACAAATTATTTTTGATCCTGTAGTTAACTGAAACTGGAATGAAATTAGCAGGGACACTGCATAGCAGTGAATCGCTCATTCTGCCAGGAGCGTACACCCAGCTATTCAGAAGTATACTGTGCTGGAATACACTTTGCAGAAGCAGTCAGCAGGGGATGATGAACACCCACTTTCTGGATCTGAACACTCTCCCAAATTTACAGGTTTCTTAAAAATAAAGAGACTAACAAAAAAAGGCTGATTTTTTGAGCAAACAAACTTGGAGCTGCTGATCACAGTCTGTCTTCCAAGAAAAAAACCTGAACCCACTTTGAAATTATACCAGACAAAACTGATTTCAAGATTCTTCTGCATTTTGTGTTATGAGTCAGTATCATTCAATTTTTCATGACCAAATCTGAGTTTGCTGTTGAAATAAGCCATGGATATTGAGTGTTTCACCTCCCTTTCCTCCACCCACTGAAATGTTACATACTGAACGGCCAACGCTGAAACAAAACAAAGAGGACTCTAAAAGCTCGGTGTTGCTTTTGTTTTTATTACACAGAAATCAAACCAGGGATTAGGAAGCAGACAGCCCAGGCAGTCATTTCCTCTGAGTGCGCCCAGACTTCCACTCTAGCAGAATCAAGGCAGACCGGTCATCTGACAACAAATTTTTTTAAATTAATCTGGGAAAAGGTACTGCATATCCAGCACCTCTAGAACTCTTTACTGTGATGTTTTCTTGCTTCTTGGCAAAAGAAATTTACGTCACCCACTTCTAGGGAGGCTGCATGTTTCCACACAGATACGAACCTCCTGGCTGTCGTACCGCTTCTGGGACACATCCATTCTGCTTCTAAACGTCTCTCCCCCTGCCACTCAGCACAGCCCGCTCGGTGCTGCGGATCCAGCTGCTGCTCAGCGCTTTTCAACACTCGATCGTTGGGTGCTGATAACCAGCTCTGCACCATTGCCCACAAGTTAGGGCTAGAGAAACAGAGTCAGCAGGGCACAGCGACCCAGCTACGCTCACCTTAACGTAGAAAACTGCTAGTGTGTTTTTGAAACTGTGGCACCAGTCCAGTTGATAAATTTACTGAATAAATGTATTTGAAGGACAAGTAGAAACATCCACCGTTCCAAATTCAGCTTATGAATCTGTTCTTCCTATTTTGTACTCACCAAGACAGACCAAGATTTATCCCTTAGGTATGGAAAACAAACGGGAAGTCTGCATTCAGCTTTAACACATGAAGATGAAACCTTCAGTGCTCTCTGCCACTATTCTTTGCTACACAGTTACAAAGAGCTTTTCAGATATCTAGTCTGAAAATAAACCTACTACCCTGGAATTGATCTTTATACCTACCACAGGATGCTACAGAAGCAGGCACAACACCAAGGCCAGACATTACAGAGACAGGGCATAGCTGGGGCACTGCTGGTGCATCAGGTGTAAGCATTACCTGGTGTTCCCTTTCCACCTGGAAGTATTTTAATGCCCTCAGAGTGGTTAATCTGGGCCAACTCCCGCCACAAGCTGCAGCCCCTCCACAGCTCCTCCAGCACGACTTCTTAATATGGAAACCCTGATCAGAGCACTCCCTACCTCAGGCAATCTGTTTTAGACACCCCCTCTGTTAAGGAGCAGAGCAGGATTATCTTATAAAGCACGCTTCCCTCAAAGCCAGCTGTTCCGCAAGGCACCGCTACACCCTCTTGATCTACACCCTGCTATACCCTTCCATCACCCCTGTCTTGCCATCTGTGACATCTGGAAAAAGGGACCAGCTCTTCTCCTTTCCTCTCAATACTGTGATTATGCATGAGAGTTCATTGTTCACCTCCTGAACCCGCTATCTGAAAGCACGACAGGCAAAGAAAACTTGGAATTTCCTTCTTGTGTCCATCCAGAGTTAAAAAAAAAAGTTTCTGGGATGGTGCAAAGTCCATCTCTGAACGTACTTATTTCACTAACAGGATAAACTTACACTGCTAGCCCTGACCCGTAATTAACCTAGCAGATACTGCCTGTATTATTGTTAACACTTTGCCGAGACAATTGTTAGAGGCTCAAAACAAAAATTAAAAAAGATGGCCCTGGGTTATTTAAATGCTCTATGGAGGGAAACGCGCTAGAAGCCCTGTCAACCATTTTGTTCCCAATATCACTCAACTTCTCCTTCAGCTGCTGTTCTGTAGAAGAAACACGAACCAGAATGGTTTGTGGTGCCTTTCGCATGTGGGTCAGCACGCTGCTCCAGCTGCCCCTGCGCACCCTTCCTGACAGCATTAAAAAGCACTTAAGGATTCTGCTTTCGGGACACAAGCACAAATGTCTCAATTTTACTATCGCAGTTGAGAGCCGGGTGAAAAAAAATAAAGTCACTCTTGTGTTTCATAGCCTGTACCATACCTGTATCCTGCTCTAACCACACTCCTCCATTTTTGGCAACAGTGTTCAGCTGACAAATGCTGAATTTTACAAGGAGACAGTCCTCAGGCACAGTATGTTTGGGGTTTTTTTCTCTTCATGAGAAAGTCCAGTGGGGTTTTCCAATCTTTCAAAATGCATTTACAGCTCTATTGATTGTTTGCATGTTTCTTTCAAAATTTCACAAGGACACCCTGAAAAATAATTCTATTAAATGTACTGAAGCCATCACGTACTTCACTTCTCATTATAGAAGCTGCCTTCTCAACTGAAGCCTGCTGGACAGGTAGGAATTAAGAAACTATTTTAATGTAGACTCTGGCTGTGTTCCTAAATTCTAAAAGTGCCTATACAGAAAAATAAAATGAAATTAAATTCTCTACATCCAAGTACATAAAAAATTTAAGTCTTACAGTAAAATTGTTTCTCTCTGTTCATTTAATTAAATTAGAAAGCATTAAGTTTCAAATGCCCACATCTTGACACAAGAACAACAAAACCAACCAAACTCAGAATAGGTTTTAGTTCTATCAATTATATTTTCCTTACCAGTTTGTTACCTTCACCTACCCATCTCATTAACTCCAGCATTAGCATCTGGCTATGAATCAAATCTGCATGTTTTAACTGACTGTTGTGAAATTACTCACACACCGCTTGCATAAGTAAACTTGGGTAAAACAGCCCGAGTGAGGCCAGCGACGAGAGATGTTTTCCCTCTGCCTCCTCACCAGCAAAAAAGCTCTTGCAAGAAGGGACAAGTATGCACAGTTTCTACACTACAGTACAGCCCATTATCAATCATCCATGACCTGAATTTGAACAAAAAACTAACCTGTCACTAATATGAAAGGAGGCTTCACACATGACAGCGGGGGAAAATGCTAACTTTTCACTTGGTGTTAGGAAGGAAGAAGTGGTTTAGAGCAGCTTCACTTTTATCAGAAAGAAGGGCGGGGTGAAAGCAAAATACAGAAAAGGCTTATGAGTTGTATGTCAAGAAAGTGTTGCAAACCTTCAGCACCGCCTGGCCTGAAGACAAAAATCATACTGCAATCCTCCTAGTGCGGCACAGGAGTGTTACAGGAGAAATGGAGAAAATGTTCTTATTTCAAATTAATTCTCAGCTGGAGTCAAGGTAAGCCCGTTATATGCTAGAATGCTTGGCCCAGCTTTTTTCCTTAACAAAGCTGGTATGAAGCAATTGCTAATAATACTCATTAGTCATTCCAGTGCTGGGTGGCATCACAAGAACAGCACTGCACGAGATTTCCACTTGTTAGCTTGTGTGCCCCAAAATGAAAGGAGAAGAATACAGATCCACGAAGAAGAAATCATTCAAAGGAAATCAAGCACCTCATAAAATTTACAAAAGGCTGTCAGACTTAAGTACTAACACAAAGTCCAAGAAAAACTAAATTCCAACAGAGTAAGGTTTCATAATTAAAGTTTTTTTTATTTCTTCACTTCTTCCTTAATACAAAGCTTTGGCATCAGCAAATTTTATGAAAAAATAGAATGTACTAAATAATTGCTTGTGCTGCATGATCGATAAATGTTGCATAAAAATAGGTGTCTCTCTCCAAGGCAATCGGCCGGAAAGCGTTTCTTCAATACCATTCTGCTCTGTGGGGCAGAAAAAAAAAGAGGAACAAAATATTTATATTAAAGTTAATACTGTCAATATTTAAAAAAAAAAATCCTGTAAAAGTAAGTTAGTGAGAAATGACTAATTATACAAGGCCAGAGCATTAAAAGAGGTCTGTACTCCTTCCATCATTCTTACAGGACCAGTAAAGCAGACAGGACAGCCAGAGGTTTGAGCACTTCTAAACTTTTGAGGAAACTCCATGTGCTACTGAAAGCTTTCTCTAAGTGGTGCTATCCAACATACGGGCTTTTTGGACTGCAAAACACAGTTTTATAGAAGTTTCCGACCATTCCCTAAGAAACAAAGCAAAAAGTCCTTTTTCTGTTCCTTTAAATCACCACCTAAATCATTTAATAGTAATAATGCATGAATATTACGAGACCAAGAGAAAGCAGCTGGTTCCTTATTTTCTTATCACTTAGACAATGCTTACTTTTATCAGGAACTATTTAAAAATGCATATGTGTGTATATATACACACACAGAAACATACATATACACAGTTAGATACATATATACACACACACACACAAGTCCAGAACTCCTGCTCTAAATAAATACGTTCAAGCTGTGGGAAGGACAGAAAAAAAAAGATCAGGACATGTTTTTAGGTGAGTTTTAGTGTAGAATATTTGGCACCTTTTACTTGCATCAGCATATTGCATGGTCTCATTCTTGCTGCTGTTGTTTTCTGATAAGAAAACACCCTTGGCTTCCTCTTGAAACACTACCATAATAAATACAGGGTATGCCAGCATTGCTTTTTATATGGAGAACAGCACAAAAAGCTGGTATGCTGTTATGACATTTAATGGAAATCACAGCAAGAGGGAGCTGCCATATATTTGGCCTGATATTCAGCACAGGAAACGCTTTGTCTGGCACTGGGGAACATCAGGTGTCAATGAAACAATAAATCTAAGAATTAGTGTCATACATACAAATTTTAAACTGTCTAAAACGAGGAGGCTGCTTAGATCTCTAAGGATTCAGTTGAAAAGCTGTTGAGGTTAAAGGCTACAACTATATACCTCAGTTAACTAAGTGCTTTTTTGACAGCTCTGGTTTCTGCAATTGCTAGTTTGCCTAACTCTGCCTCAAAGTATGCGCTCACATACGCTCGCATTTACATTCCTACCACTGGGAAAAGGAGCTCTCCTTACATCAGCACGCCCTTTGTTCGAAGGGAACATCCCCGTGAAAACAATTCTCTGGAGGCCCAAACTGTCTGCCAATGTGAAGAAGCGTGCCCTTCCAGTAAAAATAGACCCAGATCCGACTGAGAAAAAGAGAACAAAAAGAAGAGTTGCAAGGCAGGGCAGCAATGGAGCTGCTATCAGTGCCCATATCTGGATGACACCACACAGGCTACAGCTCCTTTGTCTTCTTCCTAACAATGTCGAAATGCCCAGAAATGAGGACATTCTCATTTCACAACTTGCCTAGTTCCACGCATTCCCAGGCTATTTTTCGGCGTAGAGTAACTATGTTCTGCTACAGCTATGCGCCCAAGTTGCTGACTGACAGTTGCAATTTCAAGATTTTGACAAATAGGAAAAAGAAAAAAGTAATAACCAAGAAACTTGATAGGGCTATTTGAAGTTCTAAAACTTTTCTTCATTAAGCCCTTTTGGAATTAGCATCTGAAAAGGGGAGGAAACGAAGATTTGCAAATCAGTGGTAGTCAAAGGTTCCTGATAACCAAAACCTCCAAGAACTTATTATGGCCCCTCCTCAAGAAGATACTTGAGACTGTCTAAAATTTTACACTGGAGGCTATTAGACATGTTTCCATCTTGTTGAAAAGGACATCTTATACTTTACAGAGATATAAAAGTAAAAAAACTGCTTCTTTTTCTTACTTCTAAAGAAAAAAAAAAAAGGAAGTTATATTTATAAAGTTACATCTCCAGGCTGCACAGGAGACTGCCTTTGACTCTCACTCCACTTTTGGTAAGAGATCAACACGTTTAATGGAAACTCAGCTGTGTCAAGATGTTCAGAGACAAAGAAAAACGTTGACATTTTCCCTCCCCAAATAAATAAATTATGGTTAAACATATATCACAAGCCCAGATGTTCCATACACCTAAAATGAAAATAGCTAGATGCACCTAGTTAATGTATCTGCAGAACAGATTTATTCTTGCCCATTGAACTATAAAAAAAGATTGAAAGTCATATGCTAGAGCAATTTCCTGCCCAGCCTGTCTGAAGGGAGGCACTGGGGGTGTCTATAAAAATTAAGAAAGTATGAATGTCTTTAAGCACTCCTTTGACTGCAATTCTTAAGCATACTAAAATGAGAGGTCAGAAGACTGGCCTGCTCTCTTCACTTAAGAGAGAAGAAATGGTAGTGTATTTATTGCTTTCATCTCTCTCTCTCCTAAAAGCAAAAAGATAGTTTCTATTTAAACACCTTTCTTCTTAGCTGAAAATGTGCCAACTAGGAATACAGATTTTATTTTTTTTTTAATATGAAGTTCAACTAAGAAATTGAGGCGAAAACTGTCAAAGGTAACTGACGGTAGTAATTTCTGGCTCTGTCAGGTGAATTTTGAACATAAGGATTTAATGGCAGAAATCCAATGTTTACCTAGACCATTGATCAAAAAATGAATATAAATATTCTCTTTTCTCCCCTCCATGTCTCCACTTGTCAAGGTGGATTCCTTGGACAATCCAGCTAATCCAAATACAAATTAGGAGAGACTAAGATGTTATCCTGAACCTTCTGTTAACAGAGACACTTAGATCTGAGAAAAGGAGAAAAGGCATTTGACACTTTGAAAACTGCATTTTTCCTCTTCCCTATTTTCTTGGTATTTGTTCCCAACGTCCATGACACACACCCATCAGAAATACATAGTAACATGTGAATATTTACTTACTCATTAGCATTCAAGCTAGCTGTGGCTTTGATGATCATGTAGCAGAGTGTTAGGGCACTGAGGAGGCCAAAACTGGCAATAATAAACCATTCTTCTGTTGACAAAGGAAAGGGAGGAAATCACTCGTGGGAGAAGGCTTATGTCAAAGCGATGCCAATATTTCCCTCAAACACCACTGGCGGAAGGCAAGAGGCTTCTAAGCCATGACTGGCACCAGGAGGTGAAGCAGAAGGAGGTTAGCCACAGAGTTACTGACTGGAGAAGGCTAGCAAAGAAGAAGTGGAGAGAGGTGTGGAAAAAAGCATGGCACAAAAGTATTTCCTGGCTGAGCCCAAGGGTTAGTGATAAAGAAAGATTACTTAACAACGCAAAGTGAAATGCAGGAACAAGGGAAAATGTAATGAAAACTCTGCCCCCAAGTCAGAAAAGGGTGTCAGGGTAGGTTTAGATTTGCTGAGATGCAGTTCTTCACGTAAGCATTTCCAGTACACTTTCACACTTAATTTGCATCTTCACCCCTCCCTCCTGCATAAATGCTACAGCATTACATTACAAGAACCACAAAAAATAGTATAGCTTGTTCAACAGTAAACCATAACTAGAGTTTTCCATTTAATAGACAGGAATACAACATGGAAAAATCATTTCAACATTAGTGTATACATACCAACACGTTAAAAAAAAAAAAAAGCAGTATGAAGAAGGCTCTGAAAGAAAGTTCACTATTCAAAGTTCTCCCTCAGGATCAATCTGGCACATAGTAATAGATTGGAATACGAACGCTTTTGTTGAATATGACTTTTGGCTTAACTCTCCTGCACCAAAGAATGCATGTGCCATGCATAAAATCCAAACATTTGAACTGTCTTTTCTAAAGCTTTATTTTATAAACATTGTCAGAATGAACTGTTGCTGATTATTTCTTGTTTTACCCTGGCATCCCATCTGTGCAAGAGCAGTACTACGGCTGGGAACAGACAGTAAAAACACTTTCTGTAAAACCAGCTAGTGAAAAGTTTCAGTTAAACTACAGAGCTTTCCCACCCATGACAAGGAAAGCAGCACACCAACAGATCTGCTCTCTGTTCAACAGAGCTGAATACAAGATGAATCAGATGTCGAACACTGCATGACAAAGTGACTTCTTGGCTTTGTAAAGAATCTAGATTTTGTACACGGATGTTTGCTTCTCAGACCAGGACATTTCTGGATATGGACTACGTGTTTGGTAAGATTTTTTCAACCAGACATTTACTTTGCTACAGCATCTAAAGAAACACTCTAATGGACTGTATCAATTACAGATACATATATTAGTTGCAAACAGTGTTACTAAATTAAAAATCCAGCTCATAGACGCACATAAGCAAAACACAAGGAGAAAAATCGACTTGTACCGCCTGGATTCTATTTTTGCAACTTGGCCAGAAAAACAATCATTCATGCAACAAATTGAGACTGTACAGCATATGGAAAAATGATTCAATTCCACACAGATTGTATAAGTTATAGTGCTATTACACTTTAGAAAACCTAGGTAAAATCCAGTGAGTGGAAATTTCCCATCCTGTTCTTACATGTGAGAGCTTGCAAGCAGCGCAGGAGCAGTTTTCTGATGTCATAAAACACTTGGACAATATTCAAATGTTGGTGCATCAAATACTTTTTTTAATTCACAAAAATTTTGTATGAAAAACCATCTGCTAAGAGATACCAGAATTCCAGTAGTAATGTTCTCAGGGGAAAAAATGTCTGCAGAAATAGTAACTGGCTAAAATATTTATATGTGTATAAATTATTGCATGTGAAGTATTCTGAAAGGGTAAATAATAGTTTTGGCAATCCAGTTTCTTGTCCTGGTTACCAAATTCAGGAGGGTTATTTTGTTGCCATTGCAGTTCATCCAGTGTTCTTCTCATGCAGATCTAAATGGATACACTAGTAATAACAAAAGCGTTGGCACTGTCGTACCCGGAGTTACCTTTTTCAACAGGGAGCATCTGCCTCTTAGAGACACACCGAGGTCACCTTTGTCCCTGCAGGGAAACCTTTCACCACGGCCCTGCAGCACAGAGCTACAGCAAAGCAAGTGCCACATTTCAGGAAAACCACAGAACAGTACTGGAAGCCAAAGAAAACTTACTTGTCACAGCAATGTTGATCTCTCCCGACCTTGGCGTTAGCTCTCCGTCCTGTGGAAGCTGCGACATCCCGGAGGTGCGCAGGGGCTCCAGGCTGAGCGAGCTGTCGTTGGCAAAATCGCCGAGTGCTGAGCGCCTGCCAGGTGGCTGGCCTCTGGTGAGCCTTTCCATGTCAAAGGCTACGTTGTCTGTACACGGCACGTTTGGCTGGAAAAACAAGCGATTCCATGTTACAATGGTGAATATTCTACACGTAGCAACCCTATATATTGAGTAAAACCATACACACGCTATTCAGCCGCTATGGCTGTCCTCACAGGAGAGGAACACACGAATTAGCAAGTTCTATCCAAAGTTGTTCCTTCAGTCCACCTTAAAGCAGTGGAGAAAGAAGCAGGAAATAGGATTAAGATTGAAGAGAGGGACTCAGATGTGCTGTATCATAGCCTATGCCTGTATGGTTTACTACCATGAGCAATGATGACATGCACCAAATTCTACAGTATCCTCCTCTAAAAAGCCAGGTATTAATCGCAAAAATAGGTCATCCATGTACATCTGCATTTTCTTAGAATATGTGCAAATTTGCAAGTGACACAGCTAAAAATGGAGGCCTGATTATTCTCACTGGCTTGAGTCAAAAGCTGCTTTCGACAGTATCTTCATAAGCTCTTCTCTTTCCTCTTTATTTCTTTCTTCTGAAAAGAACATCACTCCCAGCTTATAAATTTTTCATCATTTGGGAAAGACTGAAAAATTCTCTTTGAGGTTCTTCACTTCTATCCCTTTGTGAACTGGTCAACAAAAGTAATCCTCATGGATCCCAGAAGCCATGAGCTGCTTGAGGAAAACTCGCTGGCTTTCAATGCGTAAACAAATTCAAGAGTGTCTACAGGAGACCACAATAAGACATTTACAGAGTAAATATAACAAAGAAGGGTTGAAACCATTTGAGAAAAGGGAAGATTATAGAGAGCATAGTAGACTTCCAGTAGATAAAAAATTGTTATGAATGGAAATGTAACAATATATTCCCAACGACCAACAGGGAAAGGAACAACAACAAACCAGCTTTATCAGCAGCAAAGAAATTGGTAAAAAACCCATAATACTTTCTGACTAAGGGTACTGATACACCCTTCTCCTTTTCTCCCCTACAATTATTCTTCCTGTTCTGAGTCTCAGACATGGGAGGAAGAAGAACACACAACAGTGCAACTTACCACAATTCCCAGTGCCTTCAAAATGTTCAGTTTACACATTGGACATGTACAGTGCTCACTAAGCCACGGATCCACACAGGCTTTGTGGAAAACATGCCTAGAAGAACAGACAAGGCACACAGATAATTTGCAAACAGTTCTGTTTTATACAAGAAGAACTACTCCAACAAACTTTCTGATAGTTTCCTTCCTAATTAAGCCAGCAGAACAAATTCTAGAATTGCCAGTATTCTGTGCTGATTGCAATCAGGAAAAAGAAAAAAAAACTAAAAAAATCATATGCTCTTGCTTGTTATTGCCACCCTTTACTAATAGTTCAGCTAGGAAGAAACACTTAAAAGGAAGATATTTTTTTCCTCCTCCCCCTTTCATTGTGGATATGAGTACGCACATGGGCAGAATAACTAGCGTAAGAACATCCCCACCATAACCTTGTGTAAAGTCTTGCCTCAATTTCTGTGTAGAACCTGGCCATAAATTGGGCAGGATGAGCACAGATCCACCAGCAGTCAATTTAATTCAAAAGTCAGTGCAACCAACCCAAACACACTTATGTTTTATTTTGAAAGGGCTTTTATAACTGTCACATCTAAGTAAAAAGAAGGCTTTTCCTACAATCAGTATTTCTTGGTATCAGGAAGGAAAACACGTCATCATCATATGATAGTCATATAAAAAAAGAAGAATCTTTCAAAGATGAAAAGGCAAACTGTGCTTCTACCTGCACAGCTGGGAACTCTGCAATACGGAACAGTCTGAATTGCCACCTACATTGCACGCAAAATCTTTGTCACATACATGAATATAGATGTAACAGTGCTGGGGATTGATATAAACCAATATATCAAGGAAGAACTATGCAGAGACCAAAATCAGGTATCTAAAGGAATTAAAGGAAATGTTCTCTCGGCTTTTCAAAAGGCAAAGTACTTTCAGAGCATATTCATGGCAGAAATGGGTATCATTAGACTTTCTACACAATACAGCTTTAGCAAATACTCACAATAACCCAGTCTGCATAACTGTAAGAACCCAAATCTTTCATTTCCAGTGGCACCAGCTACAGAACAAAGCGCCAGTCAGAGCAGGCACACCCGAACGCGACGGACTGGCAATCGTGACAAAGATCAGCAATTACAAGGGCTGCTTAGCCAGCAAAGAGCTGTGCTCTGAAACCAGCAGGCAAGGGGCAGCAGCGGAAACAAGGAGTTCTCGCCATCGATTTGAGGCACCAGCACGGTCCATAAGAGGCCATACGTAGCCCCAAAGCAGCACAGAGTTGAGATACTCTGTCCCCTCCTTTCTCAGGTTATACTTGAGCTTACTTGAGGCATAGAGCAGCATCACGGAGTCTGGGACTTCCTTGCTCCCATCCCTTGGGATTTTAAAACCAGAGACCAAATGAGGCATGTTACCAGATAATTCTCTTTTAAATCTTTGGAAAGCAACCTGAGAGAAAGGCCTCTTGAAATTCTTAACAAACATGGAAAAAAGACAGTATATAATTACGCTTTGTCTATGGCTACTAAGACTGATGGAAGGACTACAGTATATCAACATAATTAGGTTCCAGTCAGCTACAGCTATGCATCCTACTTGTAGTAACTAAAGACGCATAGCCTTACAGAGTAGAATACAGTTAATAGAAGATAGACAGGGAGCAAGAGAACTTTATCTATATCCCAGATATTGCAGGAATAGAAACTTAGATAATCTCAGCTAGTCAGTTTGCTGGCCTGTGTCCTTTAGCAATACGGCAATCATGAAAAACAGGATATATACATTGCTTACTGTTCAAATAATTGCAAAAAACACAGACTCACTTCTATTGTTATTAGGTCTTAACTTCTTCCCTTTATTACTCCCAAAACTACAGGAAGTAATGTTTAGAAATCCTGGGTGGTAGAAAATGGTTTGAAATCTTCTGAAACATACAGAGACGCTATTTTTTTATGTTAGGCAAATCATGGCTTTTAGTTGCTTATGTTTTCTTTTAAGTCTCTGAAGTATGTTTTTCAGAGTAGGACAAACCTGAAAATCTAATATTTTGGGAAACAGCAGACATCAAGACTCCACAGAAGTATGAAAACAGCTTTAATATATCGTTATCGGCTAATCAGTGCTGTAGAAGCACTCAGATCAAGTGAAGCAGGCGACTGATATGGATGCCAACATGCATCTGCTAAATATTATGAGTTATTTTAAAGAGTCATTAGCAGTTTGATATAGTTTAAAAGCAGCAAAACAGCTCTATTATTTTTGTGACCTCTTCATTCTTTGCTTTTAGCTCCTAAACCTTCAAGGATGTTTATTAACGTGTTCCAAAAAAGTGCAGATCCCCAAAGGTTATTTATTGATTCAGATCAGTATGGCTCTGCTTACTACTTATGCAGTTTATCTACTCCTTAAAAAGCTTGCTGATACCATCGTCATGGCTCAGTCTCTGTCTGGTTTTCCCTGCTTGCAAGAGTTAAAAAGCAGTTATACAGCAATGAATAAACACATGAATTATTTTAAAAACCCAGTCTGACAAAGTAAGCCCTTGCATTTTCTGCTCTCATAAACCTTCTTCATCTTCATATTTCTGCCACTTGTTTTCAAAGACCGTAAATCTGAAGAGTTCCTAGCAAGCTGCTCTAGGTCACAGCAGCTGACTTTCCCGCAGGAGCCACACAAGTGTGACACAGCTTTTGCTGCTTCTCCAGCCTCAAGGCTGGAGGCAGCACGGCCGCCAGCCAGGCTCTGGTAGCACTGGAGGAGTCTCCTCTGCAGGCATTACTCCAGACAGGTGACCTGTAGGTATTTTTCCACTCTGTCAGCATACCCAAGCCAGTTGCCCTCCAGCTTGTCATAAACACCATAATGCTGAATCTCTTGTACAGCACAGTTTCTTTGCAGCGTTTCAGAGAGAAAAAGTGCATTAGAAATCTCTTTCACTGGTGCAATGCCCCCGAATTCGCATGTCGCACAACGAGAAGGGTTTGAATGAGTTTACAAGTGCTGTTTCCCAAGAGCTCCCTACACTTCCCTGCTCTCAGTGCAGCATTCCACCAAAGGGACCTGATGAATGTGGTGTTGCAAATGAGCTTCTCTGGCTACTGCTGGAGGCAGCTGCTTGCCTCTCCCCAGGGCAGAAACCTCCCAGCCGGCCTGGCAAGCAGCACACAGGTCCGCCCTGCCTGGCTGCAGGCAGCCCATGACAGCCAGCACAGACAAGGAGGGATGCCTGGCCTGCTGCAGCGGGGAGGAAGGTGCCATGTCTCTCCCCGCAGCAGGCAATGCCCGGGGAGAGCAGCCTCAGTGCTCTCCAGATATGTGGCACTGCTGGGGGAAAAGAGAGGCTGCCCTTGCGAGCAGGTAGAGAAAATGGAGAGGGTGTAGCGGCATTGCAGTGAGCGGAAAGGATAACATTGACATATCGTGTTAAATTGCTCTTAAAAAACAAACAAAGAAACAAACAACAAAAACAAAAAAAACAACCAAGCAAACAAAAAACCCCCACCAACACCAAAAAACAAACAGCACACAAACTAAAACAAAACAAAAAAGCTACCTGCAGCAGAACTGAATCAAATAAATGGAAATCTGGCTTAGGTGCTTTTGCCACTTTCTCCCTTCTTGCCCAGTATGGGAAATATTAAGAATTTGACTCAAAAGCCATTTATTTTAACCTATTCACTACTCCTTTAACTCTCCTCCTACCTTGTCCTTGTAAATTCCTCCCTTTCCAGTCCATCTTTCTGCCCCTTCCAATGTCACCCTGAGCTCTTCTCTAACCTGTCACTTTGCTCCCTTCTTTCCTTATCTCGTACTCGTCCTTCACACTACCCTCTCCTGATTGCTTTTCACCCAGGGCCCAATCCATCTCCTACATGCAGCGGTGTGATGGTAAAGTAAATCTATCTGAATAAAGCAAATTGTCCACGAGGTTTGTCTTTTGCTAGAACCCTGCTGACATTTGCTTACACTACTTATTTTTAACTTACATAATGATATTCACAAAAGACAGAGACATTCCTCAGGCTTGTAAGTCTAAGACAGACAGCTGCCTTATCCCTCTGTGCACCAAAAGCCATAGGCTGTGTCCATAGGCTGCTGGTACTGAACACATTTCCTTTTCCGAAGCACAAAATGATAGAAATTCAACTGCATTGTTTGCAACCATTTTCATTTTAGTTCGTTTTTAAATTGGCCACAATTTCCCACCTGCCACAAAAGTTTACATCAAAAATATGGTGTTTCACTACTGAATTCTAGGTGCCGTGTGTCTGCCCAAACCAGACTCCTCTCTACTGAGGCAATGAATGACAGACCATACTTAACTGGAGGGAGTAATTGCGGCACCAAAGGGAAACACTGCTTTTAAACTGATGAAAGCAGCAGGGATGTCGTGTGTCAGGGATTCCTACTGCCTAATGATTACAGCTTCCTCAACAGGCACAGTAAGAAAAAACTTCTACACTTTCATTCCTCTTGATAGAGCCATTTTCTCCATGTTTTTCTTGCAATTTATTTTCTCATCTGGTTTAGAGACTCTCTTGTAGATTTTTTGTGTGTGTTGTTGTGGGGGTTGTTTTTAGCACTGGAATGAGAGGTTAAAGTATCAGGAAGTAGAAAGGGATTAAACCTCCAGAACAAGATTTGGGGAAAAGGGAAAAGCATCTCAGATGCTAAAGACTCAGAAGTCTTACATGCAATCTGAGATCTCCAGGGCTCATCTCTGCAGGTACCAGTTGGCCCTTCATCTGCAAACATAAAAATACCTTGTGGAAAGCATTCATCTCAGTGTTTCCATCTAGCCAAGATGGTTTTGCACTCAACTCAGAGCTGAACTGCAGCAGATGAAAAGTGAGATTTAAAAAAGAGAAGTCAAAAGCGAACATAAAAGTTGTCATACAACCATCGGCAGGAACGTAATCTGAGCCTTCGCTGACCTTATATTCTTGTGAAAAACAGAACAGAAAAGGATGTACACAAGAGCCTTGATATCTCCTTTAGACAGGAGACTGCCGTGGGGGAGGCTGTGCTGAGAAGGCAGCCAGGTGCCCCTTCATCAAGCTCCCTGTGACTATCCCTGAGAGCAGGAGCTTCCTATCTGCAGGACTGCAGTTCACAAAAGAAAGGTGTCTGAAGGAAATGGACTTAAAAACAATTTATTTTTAATTAATTAAAAAAAAATAATCAGTGATCATCTTGGTTAAATGGTCTGATCACACCTGCTGACAATAGCACCTATCTGTTGCTTGGACAGTGGCAGGTGTTGAACTGCGGAAGCTGACTTAGTCCCAATTTTGCATTCTCCTTATTAGGAGAAGATGCTTTCCTACCAGATGAAGACTCATTCTCTCTTTGTTGGCAAGGACCTCTCTCTGACCTCTGTTCATTATCAGAGAAAGACAGAGGAGTGGGACTTGTGAACCTCCAATTCGACATCCTCGAGCCTCCCAGTACTACCCAGGAACTACACAAGTGAAGCTTTCTTGAGAGGCAATTTAAAAAAAAAAAAGTGGTCCAAAACTGGTGTGCAGTTTCCAGGAGTTCCTCCTATAATTTCCAAATAATCTTCTACATAACAAATCAAAGACTAGAGCTTAATTCACATATGCAAGCTTTACTTGAGATTACAATTTAGGACATAAATCTCTGGAATCTTTACTTAACATTTGAGGGTACATTTTTACGGGCAACAGAACATCATCTTTCAGTAAAAATGATCAAATTCAGAAAAGGAATGCACACACATCCACATGACCAACAACTCCCAAATATTTACAGATCTGAGACCAAGCTCTTCTATTCTCGAATATTTTAATGGGAGTTTCTTAACAAACATTTGTAGGGTATATTAACTAAACAGCAGCACTGATTATCTCACACAGTTCATTGTATCCCACTGTCCAAGAGGTAAAGAACACAGAGAAAAGTAAACTGAATTAAGCTTCTGGCTTCAGAAGTAGAATGCACACATATTTTGATCAATAAAATATAAAACACTGTCTTCCTTTTATGATTATAGAAATTCATTAATGCATTAGAAGAAAAATATTCCAGCTATTCAGAGCAGACTGCAGGATGATTTAGAAGACTGATAGTGAGCTCTTATGTGTTGCTGCGTGATAGAAGCTGGACTCCAACAGCATGACTTTGCTGCTTCTGAAGTATCATGCAGAACACTACTTATATACCAAGCACAGGCTAATTACTGGATCTCAGCTGCATGCATGTGTACAACAGAACTTACATGTATTTTTTACCTGGAGATAACGAGAAAGCTTTGCTTTTCAGAATACAAGGGAAAGTTGTCCTTGGTAATGCTTAAGGGTACCAAAATCTAGCAATTCATCAAAACCAATCACCAGGTGGAAAAACACTTAAAAGCATCTCTCAAAGAGCAAATATCCCAAAACAACTCGAGAATGGAAGCAGAATGGAAAGAAACTGAAAACCTGTAAGTATCAAGAGAATGGCACACAAGGAGGAGGAAGTTGTTATATTTTCAGCACCAATGCAGAACATGCAGCAGCTATAAACCTTCAGGCACAAGCCAAATATACCCTGCACTGGAGAGACCAAAGATGACAGCACAGCGGCTTACTGATGTCAGAGGAGGTATGCAGCTTGGAAAGACTGCATTTCTGTCTCCTACGCTGTTTCAAAAACCAGAAGCCAATGTTGCACATCTACCATGCAGAATGCTGCAGCTGTACCCGATTCATTATGCTGAAGATTTTTGTGTCCACCCACTGCTTGGTCCTTAAATCTGCACATCCTCCCCCTTACAATCTTAATAGCTCCACTGCGGATATGCCCAGACTGCCCATCTTCAAGATCATAATCTTTTGTTCAACCTCCGCTGTCATAACTGTGCCAGCACCCACCTTCACACCTTCTGGTATCACAGTCTAAAATAAAGTGGCTGTTATTAGGGCTGGAAACATCTAACAAATCTGTCTGTAAATCACAATGCACACATGAAATGAAGCAAAGGAGCACAAAGAAAGAATAGTTTCCAAACAAAGCAACTTTACTAGCTTACTTGCATGGTAAAATGCGAACAACATCATTCTGCTTGTAACTCTCAATGCAGACAGCACAATGATCAAAGTCTGGGTCTGTTTCCTAAAATGAATAGAATGAAAATTCAAGTCAAGAGTTGAGGCTATGACAAATGTAAAAGTAGTTGCGACTAGTACATGAACTGCATTGTGCCAGGTGGCTGTTACTAAGATACAAAACCAACGACTGGGTTACTACATTCCAACATGACTTGAGCAAGAAAAGTATCTCACACATACAAAACTCTCCCCTCATTTGGAGCTGGAACATGGTCATTTGAAACATGGGCTAAGGCCTAAGATGATTCTAATACTTGTCTGAATCACTATAAAATATAGCTGTGTTTTCCTAGAGGTTCTACTTCAGCTTGGAGTTAAAACTTTTATTTTCTTCAGGATTTTAATGTTTTTCCAGGATAAGGATCCCGGAATTCCCTTTTGTAGCCAGAACTAGCAATTTTTTGTTATTTCAGAGTAGTCCCAATTTTTTGTCTGCTGCTTACTTGCAGCATTATCATCATTCTCATCCAGACATGAAGATGAGGATCATTGACTAATTGGCTCCTCTCTTATTCTCTGTTTTCCAGAAATTATGACACTTTAAAATTTTTTTTTTTTTTTTTAAACATGAGAATTTAAAGTTTCTAATGAAAAAGGGGTGGCTCCATTTGGACGTAGATATGGCATCAGCAATACATATTTAAAATGTTTGGGCCTGTGACACAAAACAGACTGTGCTTTCTCTTAGTTTAAGTTCATTATTCTTTTCAATGCCAGCAAGCTACCCACAAGACACTGAGACAGGAACCACAGCAAGACAACAGCCACTCCCCGGTCAGCACCGGTCAGTGCTGGGTGCAGAGAATCCCGATGGCTGCTCTGATGAAGGACAGGTTTTCTCCTAACCTCTGTCCACCTGTGTGTGCATCCCCTGCTGCCTGTACTGCAACCTTCACATCACTTGCCAATTTTGAATTCATACTGTCAAGACAACAGCATCATTTCTTTTAATACGGAAAAGTTCCTCTTATCTATAGGTACTCCCACACCCACAGAAAAGATTAAGTGTAGTAGGCTGTCTTGAAATAAAACTACACAGGCAGGGAGAAAGAGCAGAAAGACATTTTTCTTGCCTTCTCTCTGGAAGCAAATTTTTCCATTAATTCCCAATCTTCCATTGCTGATAGTATTACAAGAAAGATAAAAAGGAATGACACTAAAAAGGCCCAAGGCAATAATCTTCTCTTGAAAAAAACAAAACCAAATCATAGCCAGTATTCCCTTGCCTTTGCAAATTAAAGTGCAAAAATTAAGCAAGATTAAGCAACTACTTTTTCCTTTCAGAATCAAAGACAAAGCAGTGCTGCTCAGAAACGTGGAAAAAGTTTAGGACTTAACATACCCCATATTTTAGTTTGTATACTGGCAAGAAATTTTCTTGGAGTAACACTTATGACTTTTAATGAAATACCTGTTTATACTCCCCCTCAGATTACTGGATATTCATATTGTACTTAAGAGATTGTCCTTCATTACCTTTTAAATTTATTTTTACTTTACACAACTAACACATGTGATGATTCTAAGCTTACAGAATTCCACATAAACAATGCAGCCCTATGTATTCCTACCAGCACCGCCGCCCCTCCAGCCAGCCAGCACACAAAACCACTCTCAGTCACATTTGCCAGATGGAGTGCAAGTAGTATTTAAGCAAGAAAAACTTCTGTGAAATGTGCAGACTTACAGCATACATTGATACTAAAAGTTACACAAAATGCTGTGCCACAGGACAAAGTAAGCCTTCAACAATTATACCTTATCGCCCTTCTTTACTGTCCTGGTTGTCAATTTACCGATGGCTTTCTTGGCAGCATCTCCAAGACGACGCTAATAAAGTGACAAAGAAAAACACAAATTAACCCTGATAATCAAGCTTCATTACTGTCCTTTATAATGACTTATTTGGGCTCAATACTAACATTGCAATACACACTATGGCAGTAGACCAAAACATAAGAAAAAAGTGTAGACAGCAAAGCCCACAGTTACAGACTGTCAGGAAGAAAAAAAATTCAACACTTGAGCCCACAAACGCACTTGATAAGCATGGACATAAACCTCATGGACCTTATACAATTTCACAATAGTGATCCAAAATTAACGTGACAAAACTAACCAAACTCAGCCTTCAGGATAAAAGCTGCAGCACAACACTTCCCCCTGCCCCCCCGTGACTTCCGTTACATTCTGTTCACACTGCTTTTCATTCACTGTGCTGTGATATAGCCCTTCTTCTTCTTAAGCTTGAATTATTACTATTTTTCCCCCCGAGCAGACTGATCTTATTCTGAAATGTAAGATATCCTCTCAGTGTAACCTAGTTTCTCTCTTGCTATTACTTGAAACCACCAGGATCGCACAAATAAAAAAAAAAAACGGGTCATGAAATCTAAATAAGCCAATACAGACTTAATCAAAGCTGAAACGAATACTGGTTTGAAGATGAACCTCAATCTGAACGCAAAGGTCAAGCTATTTTTTGTTGTTTATGCTGTTTTTATGACCACCACAGTTGGATGCAAGGAGCCAACTGTGCAATTCAGGTGCTGATTCCCACCGCAATGCCCAGTTCCCAGCCAAGGCAGAGCAGCTGTTTGCCAGCTGGTCTGTGGGATCCCAGAGATGGGGCACCGAGTGGAATAAAGCTTGCGTCTTCTTGTTTCAGGAACCTGAGACATCAGATTTGGTTTACACTGACTGGAAAAAGGGAAGATCGTGTACTTCATGCTTTACCTCCATCTTGCACTCTGCCTTTGAAAGAGACGGGCTGTTTCTGAGAACGTAAGCTGCGCCTATCGAAACCTCCCACACAGCCCGAATCAAATGTGCGGGTTTTGTGCCTGACTTCTACACAGCTGAAAATTAAATCCTTCCTAAGTTGTACCCCCTGTATCATATACTTTTTCTGCATACAAACTGAAACTAAGAAGGCTGCTTTTACCCGAGAAACACAAAGACCTCAGAAGTCCACCACAAACAACTGTACCACTGTTGTTCTAGAGTTACACAAGCACATTTTTTGTGTTTTCCACAGAAGAACAGCTCTTATTAATATTTTTTAGAGCATGAATTTGAAACAAAATCAGATACTCAGTCTCAACTACCGAAGTATACCCATGTAGGAAATGCAGCATCAGAAACAGAGCTGGGAAGGGGAAATTACACGCTTCCTGAAGTCAGACATCTCACCCTAACTTCAACATGTGAAAAATTGGTCAATTTAAGCAAATCTAAATTACATGTCCTGGAACAAGCGTATTGTCCTGAATACTTAACGACACAGAACACATTGGCACATTGCTGGAATAGATAATCATTATATAACCAAAAGTGTGATTACTAAGAGAGAACTAAGGCTGAAAAGGCATTTAACTTTAATGCTCAACGCTACCAACTAAGTAATCATGGGTAGTATTTATATTTAGTTGTGCTGCATATGATTGTATACGCACTACAAGAACTTGTAAAGACAGATTATTTTCTACTGGAAGTATAATATTTCAGCAAAACTCTTCCAAAATGTATACATGTTCTCTTCTGTAAATAAATTTGCTAAACAGTAACTTTCATCTCTTCCATTAAAAAGATCCATCTCCTACATTTTCTAATTTGAACACATAGTGTTTTTATGCCAACATTGGAAACGCTCAGGATTTGCTATTTTGGCAAGTTTGGGCATAGGCATACAGCACATGATTGCTTTTAAAACCCAGAAGTGTCTCGATGCAAAAGGCCACCACCATATGCAAAAGAGTTTCACATCTCTGGCGGAAGCGTGCAAGACCAGTGACGTGAAATAGCAGTATCTACTCGAACTATCTACAAAACACAGCATGTTTTTGACGGTTTTGATTTTTTTTGTGTCTTGACATAACTTAAAAACAAGATCATAGCCTAAATCAAGTTATTTCACCAGTAACAGCACAGCCTTCTCTCTGTGAAAGCTCTCAAAGCTCTTCAAAAATAAGCTGTAGCTGTCGCCACCTTCTTATTAAAGTTTAATAAGCTCAGCTTTTTAAACCACATAAAATTTTCATCAAGTTTCTCCTGACCTTTGTAAAAATCTAAAGAAAGAAAAAAGGTCATAAGAGCCCTTTCCCCATGGAGCAACTGTTTCGAAACATGGACATTTGGAAGAAGCCTAGAACCATGTAGGGGATGCAGTAGGAACAATTTAGCATTCTACAGACATTCATTGAGTAACAGTTATATTTAAACTTTCACCATCCCAAGGGACCACACTAAATATCGGTTACAGTGTGGTCACTTAAGAATGACATCCTTAGGAAAATCTACAGGATGCCCACGGGACTTGCAGCATCAGACACTATTTATAGAAACCAAAAAGGAAATCCTTTGTCACAAGTGAGGCTTTATAAGTTTGCATTTCTTTTAGGTTTGACAAAACATCTTTACAGATCCTAAACACTGCTTCATCGTGAGTTCCCTTGCATTAGCTCTAATTCAGGGGGGAAGGGAGACAGTGACTAGAGGTCAGCAGCTTTCTAAGTTAGCCTTGACAGAGAGACACAGAGGCAGAGACAGCACAGCGGATTTCCTGAGATTTACTGACCCTTCTCAATAAAAGCCAAGGCACACTACGGAGGCAGTGGGTCATTAAGGCCACGCTAGTAAAACATTTACTTCTGAAGTTTAACCGATATTTGAGTTGATGACTTTATTTAATCAAGATCTCCAAGTTTGGCCATATTTAATTCAGTCCTTAAATCAGAGTTGAAAAAGAACATAGGAAAGGCATACTGAACAAAATTTTACTTAAAATATATGGCCAGGAGAATCAGGCAGTCCATACCAAGTGTGATCTTGAATAAAGTTGAAAGTTTGTGCAGATCACTAAGCAGCTCTGTACCTTAGTTTTCTTACCCTAACATTCATGACAGATTATAGCTTGGAAATACCTTTATACAGCTTCAGAACTACTTTAACTATTACTAAAGCTATCCTTAATAACATGGATAGAATTCATAACCTTAGCTTGTGCTCCCCTACACTATACAAGTTCCTTCACAATTTAACTTTCCTCCCCATTCCCAACATACATACAGTACGTATTATTCAGCCAATGTAGAATCTATCTTGCTCTTGGGCTTAAACTCACCAAAATCCAAATATTTTGCTTCAATTCTATACTTTCCTGTTATGTAATAAGATCTTGTAGTGGTGCTGCTCAGGATAAAAACACTTTGCTATATAAAAATCCTTGTCCACCAGCATGCTCTGCCTCTGAACAAAAAGGTTCTGAATGCTGGTTTGATGGACATTCCTTAGAAACGATCTGTTCTCTATTGAGTGCCGTATACAGAAATATCACCTCCAGAACTTAGAGAAAAAGAGAAGTCCCCTTACCTGATTCCTGTCACGTGCACTTGTGTACCTGATCTTCTGGATGAAGTAAAATATTAACCACGCTGAAGAAATTATCATCAAAACAATGAATGATATTGACACAAAGACTAGAGAGCCCCGACTGAAGTTTTTTGGAGGAACACGGGACCCCACTGCTATTGCCATCAGGACAGAGATATTCTTTTCCAAATAATTCAGGATCTCCTTAACCTTTGATTCTGTAATCATGACAGCAACAATGTCTCCAGTTCCTATAAAAAAAGAAAAATATTTAATTTAAATTCAAAATTAGCATGGCATGCTGCTCATAAGATTTTCCAAATGCAAAGCCATTTGACAGCTTAGAGATTTCAATCCAAGCCATCTATGGCACAAGAAACATGCTACTGGGCACTCAACTCATGGCTTGTCCTTCAAACTCAGATTTTCAAATTAGGGCATTAACATGCAAACTGTCTGCAGCTCCACACATAGTAGCAGATCTCTATGGGTGGTTACACAAGACTTCCCACATTATAATCAGCGGGCAGTCTGAACTAGCTTAGAAAGTACATTTATTCCAGATTTGAAGCTGAGAATACCTAAATAGGTAACTCACAGACAAACATTTAGAAGACAAGTTCAATGATATTGCTAGAGTGGTCTCAGTATACACAGTGCTGTGTACAAGTTGCCCTGGAGAGTTATGCAAGGTTCCCTGAGTGGTTACGAGGCTTCCACATGCCACCAAGGTTGTCAAGGACCTGTAAATCACAATTCCAGCAAGGAAGCAACTAAACCAAACTTCTACCTACATCACTTCAGACAGAAGTGAAAGTAAAGTGACTAAGTCTGGCTGCAACTGCAAAAGAGAAATTAAAAAACACCAAACCCTAAACTTGGCAGAAGTTCGAGTGCTGATTTTATCACCCATACAAAGACGTGCTCGATAAGATAAAACCACAGAGAGGCTGTCAGCTTCATCAGCTCTATTTTGAATGCGTAGCCCATCTGGTTTTCAGGGTGTCCTGCCTCTAGATTACCTCCTGTCCCAAAGGGAAAATTCTTAGCACAAGGATAATAAGAGAATTAAACCACAAGACTGCTGAAACGAATGAAATCACCTGCAGAGCAGAGAGAGCATCTATGTTTTAAAAGCAAAGGCCCCATAACAAAGAGGATCTTGAACTCAGGGCAATTCTGACCCAAGTTCAAAGCAAGCAAACTTTATAGAAAAGCCAAAGCCAGAAAGAAAAAAATCCTTACGAGTGCCATTCTCATTCATCTATGTCTACTTGCTTCCTATACTAAAACCCCTTTCAAGACCTATTTTCAAAACGCTTGAGAAGTCTGCTTATCTATTTGCTCCATCTGCTTGCTCCAGTTCATGTTCCTTCAGAGAGGAATGGTATAATGCAAGCGACTTCAGCACCGGGATTCTGGATTTAAGTTATAGAGAACCTAGTGCCACAGTGAAGAGAGAACATGAGGCCCTAAGCCTTTTAATCAATATATGATTTTTTAAGAAGTTATTGCATGCACAAAATGAAGCCAAAGACCCCAAAAAAGCAGCACCTTTGAAAGCGAGGGCACAATAAGTCAGGGTGACAGTTCCAGACAGCTACATGATTTTCCAGAATAGGGGCTTTAATAGAATTGTGTAAGTCTTAAATGTTATCTCATTACTTGTCCCATTCACCATACCAAACAGTAACTTGTCACTATCCTCGGTTTTCTGAACAAATTCCCTAACATTAGTGTTGTGGATCATGCTGACAGAACTACTCAGAAGAATCAAAACTAATAATCTCAGAAAATAAGATTTGCACAATAATTTTAAAAATATTCCACAAAATTGATTTCCTGAAGAAATTTCAACTTTTCTTTATTTAAAATTGAAATGGTAAAGACATTCATGCTTTGCCCTGGTAACACAGGTATAAGTAGGAAAAGAATGTTCAGTGTTTCCAAATGAGTATTTTTGAAAAAAGTGTCACAGTAGCTCAAAAGGTTCGAATAGCAACCAAAACCCAACACAATTTATGGATACAACTTATTTAAACACTAGTATACCACAAATTCACATAATGTCCACTTAAGTCCAGCTCTCCACAGACACTTCAGTTCAAGACATACTCTTTGGTTTCATGCAAATTAACCAAGATATTTAATAGGCAGCAAAACTCAGAAACAGAGTAAAAAGCCACCACTTGCTTTATTTTCAGAGGAAATCTACTTGGATTCCTACTTGTCCAGTTGGGGAGAGGGTCCCTGCCCAGACTTGCAGCACTTAATTACAAGACAGGAGCCACCTTTCCTGCAAGATTCTGTACGTAGATGCAGCACGTGCTCCTGTAACCCCCAATCCCTAAAGCTCAATCAAGATCAATCATGAGCACGTAGTTTATATTACTTGATATTTGCCCTAGGCTTTGCTTCCATTCTCCATGTCTTGTTCAGATAGTGAAGAAAGGCGGGGAAGGGTGCGGGGGAACTGTATTCCCCAGAGCACATGTTCTTTTACACTTCCCCAGCAGGTATTTATTTTCACCAAGGAATTATGTTAGAATCAAAATATCAGTCAGAAGCACTCAATGTAGCATGCTGATGTGATTTACAGCTATCTGCAAAGCAAAGCTGACTAAGATTTTCCGATACTGGTCCAGTTCTCTCTGAATCAAAAGCTGAAGACTCTGTCTCCTGCTGCCCAGGGAACGTGACAAAGCTGACAATCTGTCACACGTTTTATATAAAGCCCAGCACAAAGGGAACCTCTGGCATCACTGCAAAGTGATTTGCATTCCAAACGACTCAACTGGGAACAGTCAAAGTGCTACTGCTGCTTCTGACCCTGCAGCCAAGGAGAACCGCAGAAAAGAAAAATAAATTGTGTCTGTTTAACATACTGAAGCTCAGTGGAAACTGGGACTTGGTTCATCCGTATTTTTGTCAGGGGCATCACCCTAAATAATTTTAGCAAGAGCTCCCTGCCTGAGAACAATTGGGGGCAGGAGGAGGCACTGACTCATTCATTTTAAGCACCTTGAAACCTTGCATTTCTGAAACTTATGCAGAAAAAAATCCTCAGGTGAACACAGAAAGACTAACAGTGTTTGTAAAAGTTAAAATATGTCTTACTACATAATCTTATGAAAAGCAATGCTCTCCTCCGCCAAGAACACAATGTCCAGAGCAAAGAAGCTGGAATGCTAACTCAAGCTAATGAACTACACGCTCAACCATAAATGATAAGCTAGGACAGATGGTAGGCATAAGATAAATATTGATGCCTGTAAATATAAATCATTTAATTGGTATCATCCAAGCCCAAAGAGCTCTTTCTAGCTTGCAATTTTACCATGTGCACATTTAATTAGGATAGTTACACAACATTACGTATGAAAAGGGATGAAGTTGCAATTCATCATTAAATCTGTGTAATATTACATTGGGAAGGAAAAGAGAAGGACTTCAAAGCGGAGAAGACACTAAAAACAAGAAGATGGGAAAACCAGCAACACCCAGAAGTTTCCTGTAGAGCTCCTGAGAAAACTGCTTTGCTCTCTCACTTATCTATCTGTATCTCCTACAATTTTAAAAGAGCACACTTCGAAAATAAATAGCAAGTCATCTCAAAACAAAATTACCAGTCTCATCACAAGTAAATAATTGTTTCATTTTGTGTTTATTTTGTTGATTCTTGACTACCAAATGTTTGTCTGAACCTTAAAATATGGACAGCTATGGCCAGGATACCAAGCTAAAGATGGGCATGGTTCAGTCAGACACCTTCCATCTGTCTACCACCCCTTGGAGGATGCAGGGAATGGCAGCCTGGCAAAATGCAACTGCCAAACAGCTGATTGTTTTTTTACTGGGCTTGTGAACAGCCCAAGCAGCTGTTTGGTCAATAGTGGGGCAGAAGGACAGTCTCTGATAGTGCATGCTGATGCTGCAGACAGCATGAAGCAGATATTCTTTCACGAGCGCGAGATGACTGCAGTCTAATGTTCTCTCTTTAAATAGCAGACAATATGTAATCGTAACTGAATCCTTGCATGACTTCATTCTGAACAACCTAAAGTTAAGACACATTTATCTGAATAATTCTGCTGGTGGAAATGTCAGAATACTTCCTTTAAAAAAGCAAACAAAATCCCCACCTTTCTAATAAAGGCACATGATTCAGACACTGAAATGCTACTGCCTACTCAACTGCAACAATCAGAAGATCATTAATGATAATGTAATTGGAAATAAAACTGCCCATTTTCACAAACCAGACTTTCCCATTCTTCTATTAAAACCTTGTAACTGCATGTTAAACATTTCTGAACACATATCAGAATTAAAAATATGGCAACACACGCTATTCAGTACCCAGGAAAGGGGTCAGTCCCATTACTGTGAGCGACACATTTGTTGGAATAACATTAAGTACCAGTGAAACCACTCCAACAGCATTTGGGAGCCCACAAAACGTCAACAAAGAAAACAGAAAAGCACAAATGAAGTGCTATTGTTATATATGAAGTACTGAGAGAGCGATCGGGAGTTCTGCAGAAACATCAGAAAACTCTGAGCTGCAAGGGAGCAGAGGCAGAAGCAAGAATTACCCCCACAAGGTAAGGGACTTCACCACAGAGGAGATAATCCATGGAACCCACGAGGTGAGGTGAGGCAAAGCGAATAGGCATACTGAGCTGTATGCAAAGCTGCACTGCCAGAAAAGGTGGGCTTGGGGAGCACAGCTTATAAATACAAATTCCATAGTACTTAACGACATTGGGGAAAAATACACAAATTATTCGGATACCTTAAAATTCTAGTCTAATATAAATCAGAAAAATTCTTCATGGAGATAGGTCTTACTTTCTAAACCAGGCTTTTGGAAAAGCAGACACCAAGAGGAAGAGCCTTGGCACATCTTCAGAGCAATTAAAACTGGTCTAGCTGCACATATTTTTATTTTGATCTGATCAGAAAGTAAACAAGAGCACATCCAAGCTGTCAACACATCAGTGCAATCTCAAGGGTAAAATAGATTGTTTGAGAGGTCCCAAATCAAATACTTCTGAAAGCAGAAAAAAACTGTAATATTTGTCAGTTACTTAGTTCTAAGCAAGGCAAGAATTTAATGTCAAGAATATACATAAATTTTAAAATTAGACTGGACAGCATTTTAAAACATATTTCTGCCTGTTGCCTTTATAACATCAAAAATGTTGAATTCTTGTCTGTATACAAACACTTACTTTAGGATGCCTATTTT